CCCCTTTGCGCCACAACTTTCGCGTTTTCCCACAAAAGACCGGAAACCGTTTGAAAAATCGCGGGGGGGGGGGCACCCCCACTTACCTACCCCTCACACACTTCGGTCCCTCCTCTTAACAACCTTTGGAAAACATACAATTCCTGTGGCTGAAAAAGGAGTGAAGGGTTGAGGAAGGACCTTTCAGCTCCAGAGACAAGGCAGCAGCAGCAGCAGCAGCAGGGAACAAGAAGCCCAGGCAGGCCGACCACAAGGTGTCTTGGTGCTCAAGGTGTCCGCTCAGTTCCTCTTTCACACTCCCTTCTTTATTGCTATTAAGCCTGGCAGTTTCACAGGTCATCAAACCTTGATTTCCCCCCCCCTCCTCCCTTCCCGGCATTCCCCTCAAAATATGTTTCCTTGTCAGTTTGGGAAGAAGAATAGGTTGGGTAGCGTTGCTGGAAAGACCCCGTTGCCTATATTTTGGAGAGCTCCGTTTGATCGTTGGCCACATACCATTTGACTGTTTTTACCGCGCCCGCTGGATGATTCTGACGCCCAGCAAGGGTTGTAAATGATCAGACAACACCGATCCCAGACCCCTTTGGCAGTCTGCTGAATGCCAGAAAAGTACTGCTAAGGCACCCCCTTCCTCCCCCCCCCCCCCCCGCCCGCCTTGTTTCCCACTCCATTCCTCGGGGGAGATTTATGGCCGGGCAGAAAGGGGGCTCTGGGGGAGGGAGAAAGGAGGAGCCGCCTGCTTTTAGAAGTACCGGAGGAGGCTCGGCCTTCATTCCCTGATTAATTGGGCTCTCTTCTAGCCTCGGGTCTTGAGGGAAACCAGAAGCCAAATTCAAAACCCGGGTTTCCTTGGACCCTGGCCTGATCCCTAACACTCCCTGCGCGCCTCCTTTATCCTGCGAGGGCTGGTCCCGATCAAGCGGCGCGGTCTTCGGGTTTGGCCGCGCGGCTGCTTCGCCTCCAGGCTGGAGAATCGTTCCCACCTTCGGTGGGAGGCGGTTCGCGTCGTCGGGCTGAGGGGACGAGGAGTTTGGATCGTCGGGTTCCTTCGGGACGGAGTGACTATTTCTCCCCCCACTCCACCCCCTTGAAGTAGAAACTGAAAGCAGGCGCCAGAGTTTGGGGGAGCTTGTTGGAGGGGCTGGGCGAGAAAAAACGTTTTTTTCCGTCCAACTTTATCTAAAAGTCCTGCCGGGGCGGGTTTCGCGAAGAGTTCTTGTGTAAAAGGAAACGTTCTTCCAACCCAACGGAGGCATCGATTTGTGAGGAGCAAAGTGACGGAAGCCTCGTCTCTCCCTCCCTCTTTCTCTCTTTCATTTTCTCTCTCTCTCTCTCTTCCTTCCTTCTCCCTATAAACTATTTTATTCACTCTTTCGAAGAGACGGCGGTGGAGAGAAGCCGCTTCGGAAACCTCCCCCCCCCCCCCCCCCCGAGTTGACGTGGGCAGCTTTAATGGAAGGCCACCCCCCCACACACACACACACCACCCTCAGCTTTTGAAATGGCTTCTGCAATTATGTCAAAGAGTCATTCAATCGCCCGGATGAATTAAAAAGGACCGAGTCTGCTCCTTTTTCACGGGCAGGCCTCTCGTGTTTGGCTTTTCAAAGCCCTTCCAACACGATGTCTTTCTTGAGAACAAAAGGCAGGACAGGGAAAAGAAAAGAGCCCCAAACTTGTAAATCGAACGTCAAGGGAACTTTGAAACAATCTAGAGCCCATAAATAATGATAAAGGATCTGGCAAAAAGGCAAACCCATTCGATTAATAGAGATTCCCAGGCAATGATCAAGTGGCTTATTTAAAGAGGAATGGCACTCAAAACAAAAGCAAAAACGAAACATCTAAAGGTTTCATTTGCATTCTTCTAACTTGAAAGATTTATTTTTTTTTAAACGTGAGCAACATTTAACTTTTCCTTAAAGATCCGGGCGGCGGCGGAGGAAAGGCGAATGAACTAAAAAAAATAAAGTTTTCAAAGTACCCTTTTGCCGCGTTGAAAGAAAAGGGGCGTCTACCATGGCTGGGGTTTATCTTGGCGGCCTGGAGAAGATTGTCAATAAGGTTGTCAACAAGTTAAAGTGCTGAGGGTTTTGTTTTTTTTAAATGGAAGTTTATGAAATCAGAGACCTTCGGATCGTTCTGTACTTAATTAAGAGGACATAGACATTTTATGTACTGGTGTTTTAAAAAGCTTTCTCGCCTTCCTCATCTCGAAATTTTTATTTGCTCATTTGGAATCAGAATGGAGGTGGCTTTGCCTTTGACTCAACAATGCCTTCTCTTAAATTTGAACCAGGAGTTTCTTTTTGGCATTTCACTTAATGGTTGGGGAGGAGTCGTCTGATAACAGATTAGGGAGTGATTATTTCGGTTAATGAATGACAATGCCTGAATTTCTCTCCACTACCATTTCCCCCAATTTTTATCTTAATTATGGCACAACGATGGTGGTTTTTATCCTAACATTTATATATTGTAAAAATATAAAAAGCTAGGCAGTGTCAATAACTGGGTTTTGTTTTCAATTGAAATTCAACTTTGTACCCGAAGGACAGAATGATGCTCTTGTAGTAGTTGAATAGTTTTTGGCCACACGAGAAAACTTGAGCGCGTTGATGAATGAATGTGAAAGGAATGAAAACCTCCCGGGAGGGGGAGAGAGGGGTGAGGTGGGGAGAGAGAGAGAGAGAGAGAGAGCAGGAGTGGGACTCGACCTATCCTCGGCCGCCATCCCTCTTTGGTTTAGTGCCCACATTGCGACGGGAATGGTCTCCTTTTGCAGAAGGCAAGCAGGCAGTCTTTCACCCGGCTCTGCTTCCAAGATCACGCCCTGGAGATGCCGGCAACCATTTCTGGAGCGCCAACAGTCTTGCCTGAGAGGTGAATGTATTGAAGAGGCGATTGCTACCGCGATTTTTAAAAAAAAAAGTAGGTGAAAATGGGCATTTAATTTATATTTACCGGTAGGGCTGCAGGAAGGAGGCGGGGTTAGGGACTGGCATTTAAAATTCAGAATAATTATTAACCCGGATAAATAAATTAATGTAGATGTGAACATTAATCCCCTGCTGAAATCTGGACCATGTGTTATACAGCATTGTGTAACTCTCCTGTGATCCAGTACAGGACGAGATGCGTTCCTGTGTGTGGCAAGTGTTTGGAGGGCATTTGGTTTTTCCCAGGCTTGCGAAGGGCCACGGGTCAAGCTTCGTCCTCTCGCGAGGCAGGAAAGAGGCTCAACGACCCGCAGCGTTTGATCCCTCAAAGGGACCTCCAGGTGAGAAAGTGAAGCGCCCTTTCCTCCGCTCTGTAGCCTGCTGGGTGCGGGCTGTGATTATGGTGGCTTAAATCCACCTCTCTCAGCAGAGGAAGCGCTGCTCTCTCTGGCGCAGATCAAAGGCAGCAGAGCTCTTCTTAAAGTTGCAGTTCCGCTTCCCTCCCCGCCTGGGACTTTTTAACCCGCGGGCTGCACCGCCGGAGCTCGAGCAGAGCGGCAGAGAGGAGAGGGGGAGAAGACAAAGCGGGGCCTGCCGATTCCGCTTCTCGAGAGGCTGCCACCCCTTGTTTTGCAACTCTTCCGACGGGGCCAGGCGAATCGAAACTCCCACGCCTGGGGGGGGGGGGGCGCGCCCGGGCTGTGAATTGCAAGGTGGCCAGTGGAACATCGAGATTTGGGGCCCAGGAAAGGTAGCGAGAGGCCGCTTGCTCAGCTCCGTGCGCTGGGGAGAGAGAGAGAGGCGGGGAACGGAGAGGCAAAGCCGCACCAGGCCGCTAGGCGTGCGCCCAAGGGACGACGGCCTCTGAGACTGAAAGAAGCCGGAGACGGGCGCTGACTGAGGCATCGCGGCCAAAGATGAGCGGAACCCTTTCCCACGACAAAGCTGCCGCCTGCGGGGTATTTTTTCAGAGATTCAAGGAGGAAAGCTCTTCCATCGCGGAAATAAAACAAAAACAAAACAAAACGACGGTATTTGTCTTGACCTTAAGTGGTAGCAGGAGATCGGATCGGAGAAGGGATGGCTACTATCGGATCACTAGTGACAGCTTACACGTGGATACAGGGCCCTTACACCCTCCTCCCCCTCTTTAGGCATGACGCCTCTAGACTTGCTGGCTTCCAAATGCGTGTAGGGGAGTGGGAGCGCTTCAATTGCTCACCTGGCCTGAAAAGCAGGGGTGGGTGGGTTTGGAGCAAATTCACGAAAGGATGGAGCTGGTAATGGCCAGAGCTTTTTCTGTGACAGAGGCCCATGTAAGGCACAAAGGCAGAAGCAAAGTTGGGAAAAAAGTAGTGGATGAGAGGGGGTGGGAGCATTTGCTGTAGCTTTCATTGCTTGGGCGTCTTTTTGAATTACTAGGTGCCATCGTGGCAAATGGGATGTAAACTAGGGCCACTGAAGGGTTGAAAAACTGCAAATGATATTTTGCACTGGGACCCAGTTTTGCATAAGCACTTTACTACAAGCATATTAAAAAAATCACAACGCCAATTGTAGATGGTTGTTTGGTGTGAAATCCAGAGAAAAATCCAGTAGAGGTTCTGAACATCTTATGGAAATGAAAGCTAACATCTGGAGAGTCCAGCTTAGAGATGTGGTATAGGGTGTTCTTTATTTTAAGATTAGTACATGTAACAGGCCTGGGCCATTTATTTCAAAGTATAAGTATTTAAATCTAAAATATACAGATTATTAAATACTCCCTCAAAAATAATACTGAATTAATATGAAAACAGAAACCATAGAGATTTTGTTGGAATTACAAAATACAGTATTTTCAGATCAGTCTCCCATTTAACTGCAATAATACTTTCAATTTTGTACAGATGTAATGAATATCCACATTACATGCTTTACCACCAAAAAGTAAAAAGAGGCTGCAGTGTACAGAAAAGTCTTATGTATTCAAATACAGGCAAGATTTTGGTTTGGCGCTTGGATCTTTATGCTTACAGATGTATTCTTTATGCATTCCTATTTTCACGGGGCCAAATTCTTATTTCAGACTTTGCAAGAAAGGTGACAGTTTAGAACTCTGCAAGTTATAACACACCCTGCTAATGACTGTGTTCATGTCTGAAAGCATTCAATAACTATGGTCCTTCTATATACCTTCTAGGAGACTACATGAATCCTACTAATATATTTATGGATTTGATGACACCAATTTGTTCAACTTTTTACCACAAAGGAAAGAAAGCGCATTAGGAAGAACTGCAGTAGGACTGAATAAATAAACCCAACTCCTTTCCACCTCTGAAAATTACATTGTTGTTATAATAGTAAATTGAAATGTAGCCCAGGTAAAGACTGTCTTCTCTGTTATTTAACTTCTTGAGTACATTTACATAAACTAATGGCAAATTTATTATTTAAAAAAAGGGATTAGTGAACAGAAACAATTGACTTGGAAATTCACTTGATCTCTTTAGTGTCATCTGTGCACATATCGAGGCTTTCAGAGATGGCCACAGGAAACAGGTTGTGTTGATATTAAGTTTTGCATCAAGATCACATTTTATACTTTATGCCACCATGATATGCACATTATTTTCTAGATTTTTTTAGATTAGAAATTCAACTGCTGACTGATACACACTGGTTTTTAGTCAAGACTGCCATAAAATGAAGGCATCATCCTAATCTCATTTCTTTCTTTCTCCATATTGGGAGATGTTGAGGTGACACTGAGTTCAAAACTCTCCATTCCTAACTTTAGTGCTTTACAAATTAATTGCTTTACTGTAGCATAATCTAAAGCCCACTTCATCAGATTCATGGAGTGTTGTTATTGTTATTTGAGTTTACAGGCATTTACCTAGCATGTAGACCTGGATATATGGAGAACAATGTAGACAATGGGGGCAAAAAATCGTGAAATGTTATAGAAAGCAAATAAAAGCATACAATACCTGCCTGCTTATTTAGGTGAAGGTGTCATAATGAAGCAATACATAGCAAAGTAAATATGTCAGTGGAGATTCTCTGTCATCCAGGTAGAGTTGTCTGGAAGATGAGTCATCAGAAGAGGCATCAGACATTTCTCCCTTATTTCTCTGGCAAAGGGATTTACACAATGTCCTACTGTGATTTATATTGTTCTAACAAAATATTGCCACAGCAGGCACTTTCAAGTGATACAACAATATCTATTCCCAGTACAAAAAGTTACCATTCACAATCTTCAGTGAGGGTCCAATAGTGCCTCTACTGGCATTGCAGCATTGACAATGATTTTTCAGAGCACCTCAGTTAAGCCTCAGAGCAATTACTGTGCTCTTCCACACCGTTCTGAAATGCCCTGGTGGTAAGAAAGCTGAAGATACCGATGCTGTAGCATCAGCAGGCCCTGTCAATATTAAGTTGCATTTTCGAAGTGTGAGGGATTGAATTTTGCTTTGAGATTGGAAAGGGGAACATTTACAAGCACAACACTTGGGAACCATAGTGCAAATTCAATATAAGTAAACATTGTTTTAAAAATGGAATTAGTGATAAGGAATGGAAAAGTGGAGGGATCCAATTACTGATAACTGCAACCGGCAAGAAATGTGCTGTAATGTGTATCACAATCAACAGGGCATTACCAAGCCTAAGGCTGTCAATATCAAATTTTTCTTTATGAAATGGAAGTCGTCTTCTCTCTTTAAATGCTTCCCCCCCTTTTAAAATAAATATCTTAAATAAATAAATAAAATAAATTCAGAGGCCTTATTCACCAGCTTAAAAAAACCCTAAATGTATAAATTATTATAAACCTGGATATTATATGTTTAAACTTTTTTTCTATCTCCAAGTAACAGTGAGTGGCAGCATACAGGAACTGGGAATGGTTTTATTTTCTGGCTTTTTATTTGATTTTTTTAAACCAACAAATACAACTTGTTAAGTCTTTTATATCCCTGTCCCCACTGAATTTGCACCTCAATAGTTTTTCCCAATATATATGGTTTTTGAAAAAAACAAGGTAGCTCAATGTGTCTGAACCAAAACAAATGTAATACTTTGTATTAATGTAAAAAAAAAAAAGATGAGAATGAACAAAATTGTTAGACTATTATTTCTTGAAATGTTGCAAATATAGAATTATTTCTTTCCATTAAAAATAACTCTAATGATATAACTATTTGTATTTACTCATCAGTCCTATTCGGTGCAAGTACTTGTGGATGGCATCTAAAGATGCTTTGCTCTTCTACCCCAGGTAACATGGAAGAAAAAGAGCATGGAAGAAAAATACGCTCCCTGCAAACCTCACTGTTTTCTTCCTTCTAGAATTCACCATGCTCAGTTCCTTACACACTGCAAGCTAAGAAAATATGGTCCGGTCCTGCCAGCTCACATTAAAGATATTAGTTCTGATTCTGATACATTGTTTTGTAGTAGGAAAATCCAAGCTGGGGAAGATAATATGGGTGGTGTATATGAAAAGATGGAAGGAGAGAAAGGAGATGTGGGTATGACAAGGTTCAACAGTGCCCTCTAGAGTATCTGGTAAGTTGACCAACATTGAGAAATCTCAATACACCCAAGCTGAACAATTATTCTGTAGTCTACATCTTCAATGAAAGCTCATTGTAAGATAGCAATGCTAGTCAGCTAATTTTCATTCAAATATAGCAGGTGTGTCTAACCCTCGGGCCCGGGTCACATGCAGTCCTGAGCAGCTAGGGAGATGGTCCCACAAGATTGTAAACTTTTCACATTATGTGATTTACACCCTCCAACTATATATTTTGTATGTGGTGGAAGACAATTAATTCCTCTTTACTCAGTGTGGCCCAGGCAAACCAAAAGGCTGGACACCCATGAAGCATAGGTACTATATTTGTAAAGATGATTTCAATCACAAAGTAATTATCTGATTTATTGCTAGAATTTTGACATCAGAACTGGAGTAAGTGGTTGAATGGGAGAAAGATGCCTGGGCTGCTGAAAAATTGATAACAAGGTCCATCCCTGCCTCCCTCTCCTCTGTGCCTCCCCCCCCTCCACCTGCCACTCTGGACAAAGAGCCATAACACATTGACTCCCTTATCGGTTGCTGTATTGAAATGGACAGATGCTTCTTGTGAGATGATCCACACAAATGTCAGATCTTTTTCTTTGTGATACATGTGAATTCATAACTGCCTAATACATATGTAAAGTTTAATTTTTAAATTGCTTTGTTATATAAATATATATGCATACTGCTCCATCATAGTCTTCCAGAAATTAAACATGAAAGAATATTTTCCTTGCTTTAAATGGGGACGAAAAAATTAAGATGAGCTACGATTTCTAATTGATATTGGATTCATTAAATTGTTCAGGTGGCTAAGGCAGCTAATTGTACTATGTGCCTGTTTACAGTAGAACTTAACACATTTCTTATTCTGCTACCAGGAAAAACTATAATGAAATGTAATTCCTACTTAACTGTGTGTGAGGAACCAACAGGCAATGGGATTTTGCCAAAGGGCAAAACAAAAGGCAATGAATTTTTAATAGTTCCATTCAAAGGGCCATTCAGCACAATGAATTTGTTACAGACATTGATTTAGAGTCCATTCAGTAAGTCTGCAGTTATTCTTGTTTTTTAATCCACTTTTTGCAGGGAAAGAAGGCTGAGGATGCCTCAGAGTGGAAGGAGGCAATACCTCCCTTCATAAAATTGCCAGAACTTGCACTGATAAAAATATATGGAAAGTTTTGCTGATTTCAGAGTGATGTTAAGGATTATAATCTGGGAGCAGGCAAACCAAAATTCTAGTCCATCCTCACTGAAACTCACAGAACCTCCTTAAGGAACCTTGGGCCAGTCCCCCCGCTCTCCCAATCCATTGTACCTCATAGGGTTGTTGTAGGAAAAATAGGAGCATTGTTTATCCTGACACTTTTGCTCCTAAAGGAAAGATGAACTATACATTAATTATAAATGAAATAATATACATTATATACATTATAAATTAATTAAACAAAATTCAGTTAATTTCAGAACACATTTTACATCAGTCATTTTATACAGTATGTTTCATGGTCCATTTTGGGGGAACTGAAAAGCAAAGCAATTACTATATCTCCCACCCAAATTTCTGGAAAAGATGCTCTTGAAGAAGACAAATAATTCAACACAAGAGGAAGGACCACAGCTGTTTGCTTTCTTCCACAACACTCCCCATCCTTACCCCCTGCAATCTCTAGACTTGGTTTTCCACCAATATTTCATCAGAGCTACCCCTATATTAAACCACCCCTTCATGATCAGTCTCGCCCTTCATGATCTTGGAGAAAAGCTTGAGTAAATTGTAGCTGCTTAGGTTCTCTGAAAAGTCGTTTTCCTACTTGACATCCCCTGGAAATTCAATGTAGAGAAAAGTAAAGTCCTACACTTAGACAAGAAAAACCAAAAGTACACATATAGACTGGGTTAAACCAGGCACAATAGCAGTAACTGTGAGAGGGATCATGGAGTCTTAGTGGACAACCAGTTTAATATAAGCCAACAGTGTGTGGCGGCAGCCAAAAAAGCCAATGCAATCCTAAGTTGCATTAACAGAGGGATACAATCAAGATCAAGTGAGGTACTAATACCACTCTATGAATCCTTAGTTACACCTAGAGCAGTGGTGGGATTCAAAAATTTTTATCACTGGTTCTGTGGGTGTGGCTTGGTGGGCATGTTTTGTGCGCGTGCAGATGGCTTGATACTGACCTTCTTCTACAATCCTGCACTCTCCCTGTGTGTTCAACAGCTGATGCGCAGCAATCCGTTATGCCGCACGAAGCAGCTGAGTTTGAAAACCAGGAAATAAAGGTCAGAATAGAGCCCGGGCTGGCAGGTGGGCCCAGCAGCTGATTGTTGGAGAGAACTGGTTCGCTCACAGATGATCCTCGGAGCTATTGGATGGCCGAACGGAGCCAAATTGATAGAATACCATCCCTGATCTAGAGTACTGCATCCCGTTTTGGTCACCACATTATAAAAATGATGTTGAGACCCTAGAAAAAGTGCAGAGAAGTGCAACTAAGATGATTAGGGGACCGGAGACTAAAACATATAAAGAACAGTTACAGGAACTGGGCTTGGCTAGTCTAGTGAAGAGAAGGACCAGGGGAGACATGATAGCAGTCTTCCAATATTTGAGGGGTTGCCACAGAAAGGAAGGAGTCAAGCTATTTTCCAAGGCACCTGAAGGCTAGACAAGGAAACTGAACAAGGAGAGATTTAACCTGGAAATAAGGAGAAATTTTCTGACAATGAGAACAATCAATCAACGGAACAGCTTGCCTTCGGAAGTTGTGGGAGCTTCATCACTGAAGGCTTTCAAGAAGAGATTGGACTCCCATTTGTCAGAAATGGTGTAGGGTCTCCTGCTTGGGCAGGGGTTTGGACTAGATGACCTATAAGGTTCCTTCCAACTCTGTTAATCTGTTAGATCATCATTAGACTCCAAGAATGGAATGGAATGGAGTAGAGTAGAGTAGAATAGAATAGAGCTGGAAGGGATCTCGGAGTCTTCTAATCCCATGTTCAGATTATGAGCAGCAAGAGAAGGTAGATGTTCCTATTGCAGCATGTTTTAGTTATTTCACGAGGATCAGGGGTGGGATTCTACAGGTTTGCACCTATTTGCTAGAACCTGTTGTTAACATTCTAAGCAGTTTGGAGAACCGTTTGTTAGAAGAAATTACTGGCCTAATCCTGTAAGGAAGGCAGGAAGGAAACATTCTGGTGTTGCTTACAGAAACTATCTCTCCATTAACTCTTATTACATTCTTGGCAGGACTAGACTTCCTGTCTCAGGAACATCTCTGGAGTTTTCCCCCCTCCTTTGCTGGTACTTTGCTTGTGTGGAGTGACCATTCAAAGTTAAAATGGCACTGAAAAAAGTGACTTAAGACCGTTTTTCACACTTACGACTGCTGCAGCATCCCTACAGTCACGAGAGGCCAGACGAGGAGATGCGTGCCTCGATGCGAGGGATGTTGAGTTGGCCACACCCAGCCAGTCACATGACCACCAAGCCACGCCCACCAACTAAGCCACGCCCACAGAACCGGTTGTTAAAAAATTGAATCCCACCCCTGACGAGGATCATAAATCTAGAACAACTCAGCCACACCCCAAGGCTCCAGACAAGTTCAGTTGGAGAAGCAAGATCTCTTTCAGAGCTGCTTTTAACTCTGAAAATGGATTTCCCATGAAGGGCTGACATAGGAAGTTCACTGTAACACTACCATTCCAGTTCAGTTACCACAACCATTATGATTTCTTATATCACAGAGGGCCAGATTTTCAAGATTTTCAAAGTCCCATGGGGATACATATTTCACTGTTTAAGTAATTGGGATTCTTTAATAGCCAAAATGGTTGAACCTGCAGTCTCCTGAATGTATATCTGGAGAAAACCTAACCGTCTGTTAGATCTCCTGTATTTTTTCCAATGTGCCCCTTATATTTTTCTATTTATTAGATTTACAGGTATAAATCAGAATAGAGCTGGAAGGGACCTTGGAGATCTTCTAGTCCAATTTCCTGCTCAAGCAGGAGGCCCTATACCATGTTAGATAGGTGGCTCTCTTCAGTTTCTTTAAAAAAAAACTCCAGTGATGAAACACTCATAAGTTCTAAAGGCAAGGTGATCTACTGGTTAACTGTCCTCACTTTAGGAAGTTTCTTCTTAATTCCAGGTTGCTTCTCTCCTAGAGTAGTTTTCATCCATTGTTCCTTGTTTTGCCTTCTGGTTCTTTGGAAAGTAAAATGACTCCCTCTTCTTTGTGGACCCCCTCAAATACTGGAATACTGCGATCATGTCCAGGGGTGGGATTTAAATTTTTTAACAACTGGTTCTGTGGGCGTGGCCTATTTTGTGGGTGTGGCTTGGTAGTCATGTGACTGGGTGGACATGGCTTGCTGACTCGGCATGGCTTGGTAGTCACATGACTGGCTGGACATGGCTTGTATGTAAATATTGTAAATATTTATGTAAATATTGAATTTTTATATTAAAAAAGAGCAACTTTTACCCAAAATCAGGCAAAGCAGGCAGGCAGATTGAGTTGCTCACAGAATCACAGATTCATTCAGAGATCTACCATTCTGCAATCTGCTACTTGAGTCTGCACTGAAAAATAGAATCTAGGAAGGTTAAGCTCTGCTAGAAAGCAAGAAATCCAATGATTTCCTGCTTTCTAGCTAATCTAAATCTCCAGCACAGCTGATAGTTGGAACAGCTGATGGTCAGGAAAAAAAAAAGGAAAAATAGCAACTTACCAAAATTGAGCTAATGCAGGCAAGTTGGATGGTGCGCATGCCAGGTAAGGAGTGAGTGGGTGGGGTGGGAAGGGGCCAGCCAGTGGTGCGATTTGCCAGTTCTCCAAACTTAGCAGAATCATAACAACCGGTTCTATAGAACCGGTCCGACCAGGTAGAAACCCACCCCTGATCATGTCACCCCTAGTCCTTCTTTTCTCTAGACTGGCTATACCCAATTCCTGCAACCATTCTTCATATATTTTGGTATCCAGATCCTTACTCATCTTAGTTACTCTTCTTTGCACTTTTTCCAAAGTCTCAACATCTTTTTTGTAATGTGGTGACCAAAACTGAATGCAGTATTCCAGGTGTGGTCTTACTAAGGCTTTATAAAGTGGTATTAATAATTCACATGATTTTGATTATATGCCTCTGTTTATACAACCAAGGATTATATTAGCTTTTTGGGCTGCTGTCACACACTGCTGGCTCATGTTTAAGTGATCCACTAGGACTTCAAGGTTCCTCCCACACAGTTATTGTTTTTGAGCCATGTTTCATTTAATCTGTACTTGTATCTTTGGTTTTTCCTGCCTCAGTGTAAAAGCTTGCTTTTTTCCACATTAAATTTCATGTTGTTGGAAATGGCCCATTGTTCAAGTCTGTCAACATCTTTTTGGATCCTGAGCTTGCCTTCTGGGGGATTGGCTATTCCTGCCAGATTAGTGTCATCTGTAAATTTAATGAGTTTTCCTTCTATTCCCTCATCTAAGTCATTTATGAAGAGTACTGGGCCTAAGATGTAACCTTATAGTACCCCACTGCTTACTTCCCTCCTTGTAGACATAGACCCATTAAGGACTACTCATTGAGTACAGTT